CGGGCCTGGGTGGGGAGGGGGAGGGGAGCTGCAGGTCTGTAACCGCAATCGCGAGGAGCTGGCGAGCGGAGATCAGTTCCCGCGGCCGCCTCCCTGCCGCCTCCTTTGTGCCTGGTGACGCGCCTGAGCCTGGGGCCCTGCTGTGCCCCCGCCCCCGGGCCCTGCCTCCCTCCCCACGGAGGGTCACGTCTTCGGGTGGGGGCTCCGCATCCCGAAGGCCCCAACAAAAGGCCACACGGGTCACCCAGAATATAATCGTTACTGTCAGCGGTGTAGTCAGTATTCTGTGGTTTGGGGACTGTTTCCACAAGATGCTTACAGTGTGCCTCCCTCTGACACTCTTTTTGGAGGAAAGATACTATAAAGGGCATGAAAAACCTTTAATACAAGGAACAGAACTAGCGAGCAGCTGATAAAAAATCTGGGCCAGTGTAGAGATGAGAGTGTTCACAACCAGCTGGGGGGAACTGAGTCATTCATTCATTCATCAAAAACGCATGAATGTCTACCGAGTGTGATGTTAGGTTGCCCCGGGAGTGATAAAAATGTGTCAGACGTATCTCACTTAGGGCATGTTACACGTTGGACTATAATTGTGACATTTTTACCTTCTCGAAATAGCAACATCTCCTGTCTCCATCTCCTGGCAACAGCATGTTCCCTCCTTTGGGAAACCCACCCACCTCAGTAGTGGGTTCCTCTCCCAAGCTTGAGTGATCATAGAACCTCCCCACCGCCACCACTCTTCCTTCCTCCCCCACCCACACACTTTCATCTAAAGATGGGCATGGGTGACCAAGACAAGCCAGGCAGAACACACCCCTGGGCCTGTTACAGATGAAGAGAGACAGGTGAGTATTCCATTTCCTGTGGGGAGGGTTTGCCCTCATTAGTAGACAGTGAAGACAGAAACAAAGATAAGAGAAAGTCTAAGAGGGTGGGTTCTGATGTCAACCACAATAGCAAGGAGCACCTGGGGTCCCTGCAGCTCCTGGATTCTGGGATCCACCCCCAGTGTCCTCTCTATTAAGGTAGTAATTTTACTACCTTAAGCTAGGAAAAGCCAATTTTCCTGCCACTCACAGCTCAAAGAGTATGATAGGCCACACCAAAGAGGTTTTATTTGGGCTCGACACTAAAAAAAAAAATAGGCTAGCAAAGATTTGGAAGGCTTTCTAGGTCAGAAAGTAGCAAATTATGGTCCATAGACCAAATCTAGCCTACTGGATTTAAATGACTAATTTTTATGTGTTTAAATGATTATGTTTTAAGTGGTCATATAAATATAGTATTTTCAATTTTGCCTCTTGTGCCTCAAAATATAAAATTTTATTATTGGGTCCTTTTCAGAAAAAGTTTGCTGACCCCTGTACTAGGCAGAAAGAACACCCAGCAAGTTAAATGTGTGAATAGGAAGGAGGTAATATTAGAAATGTAGTTTTATGGGGATTTTTAAGTTCCGCCTTTTAGTGACTTTCTTTTTTAACTTCCTGTGGTCATAGAGAATATTTATAATAGCAATATTTTCTGTGTCCCTCCCCAAATCCATTGTCTCCACTTCTTAGTCATGCTCGGCCCTGGGAGGCTGACATTGATGGATACATGACCAAAGCCTTATTGCCTTGTGGATTCCCTTTGTGTTCAACCAATGCAAAGCACTGGTAGATGATCAAAACAAGGGAGGAGAGAAATATCAAGGTATGTATTTACACTCCCTTCCCTCTTATGCTAGGCCAAAATTTTGGCCATACAGTGCCCCTCTGACTACAGTGCCTGTCTAGAGGCCTCTTTTCCATGGCTCCAGTGCTCCTGGGTCTCTAATAATACCATTTCCTGCCAGTGCCCATTCAGGCTTAGGATGGTAATGGCCTCACTCTTGCTGGTTCCCTTAACCATACCCACACCTCTGTAAATAGTCCCTTCATTATATTCTTTAAGGGTTAAACCATTTTGAGGGTAGCTTCTGTTTCCTGCCTATACTCTGACTGATATGGTAAGATATGCCAAAGTGTCACTGCTTTGTTTTCCTCAAAAATATTTATATTTCTTATGATCTCTATAAGATCATAAGACATAGTCACCTATTCATATGATCTCACTTATTACTCTCCCATCCTTTCTTAAACCCATCTAATCATACTTTTTAGCCCCATCAGTCCAAAAAAGCTGTTTTTATTAACATTAACAATGACCTCCATGTTGCCAAATCCAGGGGTCAATTCTCAGCCCTCCCCTCATTGGCTCATTGCTATCATGTAATATGTATGATCCTATCTGCCTTTTTGATACTTTTTTTTGTATTATTGCTTATCTCATTTCTCTCCCAAGAGTCTATGCCACTGCTGCCTACAAGACACTCACTTCAGATCGAAAGACACACATAGACTGAAAGTAAAGGGATGAAAAATGATATTTTATAAAAATGGAAACAACAGCAACAAAAAGACTTGGGTAGCAACTTATACAAGACAAAATAGACTTTAAAACAAAGACTATAATTAGAGACAAAGAAGGACCCAGTAATCCCACTTCTGGGTATTTATCCGAAGAAACCCAAAATGCTACTTCAAGGGGACATGCTCATCCATATGTTCATTGCAGCATTATTTCCAATAGCCAAGATAGGAAGTTAACCTGGATGTCCCTGGATGCATGAATGGATAAAGAAGGGGTGGTACGATATACAGTGGAATATTACTCATCCATAGGGGGAAAAAATGAAATCTTGTCATCTGCGACAACTTGGATGGACCTAGAGAGTATTGTGCTGAGTATAGTAAGTCAGACAGCGAAAGACAAATGTCATGATTTCACTTATAAGTGGAATCTAAAGAGCAAAATAAACAAATGAAACAGAAACAAACTCATAGATACAGAGAACATTTTGATGGTTGCCAGATAGGAGGGAATTGCAGGGAGGGTGAAAAAGGGGAAGAGATTAATAAGTACAAATGGTTGTTACACAGTAGCCATGGGGATGTAGGGTATAGCATAAGGAATATAGTCAATAATATTGTAATAATTATGTATGGTGTCAGATGGGTACTAGCTCTATTGGGGTGATGGGAGGGAGGTTGGGGGCAGGGTGAAAAAGGTGAAGGGATTAAGAAATACAAATTAGTAGTTATAAAATAGTCATCGGCATGTAAAGTATACAAAATATAATCAATAATATGATAATAACTATGTAGTGCCAGGTGGGTACTAGTTAGGGGAATCACTTCATAAATTGTATAAATGTCTAACCACTATGCTATACACCTGAAACTAACATAAAAAAAAATAGTGAATGTCAACTCTTATTGAAAAATTTTAAAAGGGAGGGAAGATGAAGAATAAGTGGTTCAAAGTTCCGGATATAAAACAAATAAGCCGTGGGGATGTAATTTACAGCATAAGAAATATAGTCAATAGTATTGTGATAACGTGGTACAATGTCAGATGGTTGCTGGACTTATCAGGTGATCATTTCTTTAGCATAGGGAATATAACCAATAATATGATAATTATGTGTAGTACCAGGTGCGTTCTGTTGAATAACTATGATGTACACCTGAAACTAACATAATATTGTATGTTAGCTATATCTTAATAAATATCTTTTTAAAAAAAAGAAGAAATAAAAAAAAGATTCTATGCCATTGGCCTCATTGTTCAAAAGTGATATAAGCCAATGAGCTCAATCATTAAGTTCTTTTGGATAGTGGTATCTGCCAATTATTGGAGATATTTATAGGCAAGCACCCAAAATCTCCTTGCCAGGTTATAAAGAAAGTAATTCATATATACAGGTGTGTGTATATATATATATATATATATATATATATATATATATATATTTATTTATTTATTTATTTATCAACAAGTAGGTACAGAAAAGTCATAAACCCTGCTCTGAAAACTTGATAAAGTCCCAATTCCTTATCTTTTTATGGGCTGTGACTGTATGGCCCACAAAAGACTTGTGCAAACAGAGACAGTATTTTGGAATCATGCCTAAGACATCATTACAAACAGGAAAGGCTGAAAGGCACCCTTGTTTGTTATGCCCTGTTCAAGCAAGAGTGAGGGGTTTCTTTAAAATACTTCAGCCAATCCACATATCTCCACATATCATATTTCCCTATGTATAAGACACACCCTTTTCTGAAAAATTTGACATCTAAAAACTAGGTGCATCTTATACAGTGGTTGTAGATTTTTTTACTTGCATTTCCCGCTTTTTTAGCGCTTGTTTTTGCGCTCATACAACCACTGTATAAGACGCACCCAGTTTTTAGACCCCAAATTTTTCAAATATGGATGCGTCTTATACATGGGGAAATATGGTATTTCAAATACCCGTCATTGTAAACCCATTTCTAATGTTCATTACATAGTGCTATAAAAGTTCTGTTATTAATCTAAGATTTTTTTTTAATTGCTTAAATTCTTATTATAATTCCCTTTAGAGCATATAGCCTTCTGGTAAAATTCTAGGTTACAACACCTGCAGTTTGCATTCCTAGTTAGACAACTGACCAACCCTAGAACACCAAAACTAAACACACACACACAAACACACACACATACACCTATATCACATTCTGTAGGCGTTAAAGGTTGGGAGGAACACCTTTAAATGTTGGGAGGTTTCAGACAGCACTTTAATTTCAAACTTCACCTTCCTAACTATTCCTTCTGGTAATTCATGTAGTCTGCTTTAATTGCTAACTCTGAGGGTAAATGATATTGCTAATATTGCACCATTTTGATGGAAAAAATTGACAATACACCTGGTTCAACTTAATATTCTGACAACTCCAAAATTTATATTTTCAACCCATACTCTACCCTGAGTTCCATACTCACATATCCCTTGCCTTCTTTTTATATTCATTTGAATGTTTAATTGGCTCTTATGGACTGAACATTTATGTCTCCCCAGATTTATATATTGAACGCCTAACACCCAATGTGATGGTGTTTGGAGGTGAGGCTTTTGAGGGGTGATTAGATTTTAAAGAAATCTTGAGTGTGGGGCCCCATGATGGGATTAGCATCTTTAGGAAGACCAAAGGTCGGTCTCTCTCTCTCTCTCTCTCTCTCTCTCTCTCTCTCTCTCTCTCTCTCCTCTCTCTCTCTCTCCCTCTCTCCCATATGAGAGCACAGATAGAGGACTGCCATCTACAAGCCATGAAGAGAGATTTCACCAGGACCTGAATCTGCTGACACCTTGATCTTGGACTTCCCAGCCTCCAGTACTGTGAGAAATAAATATCTGACGCCTAAGCCACCCAATCCATGTTATTTTGTTATAGCAGCCCAAGCCAAGTAACACATTTAAGCATAAATGATTAAAACTGATCTCTTCATTTATTCAATATCTCCTGTTCCTTCTGTGTACTTCATCTTCTTAGAGAACACCTCCACTCACACAGTTGCTGAGGTCTTAAATGTTAGTCATCTGTTGGCTCCTGTCTTTCTTTCATACCCCACATCTATCCATTACCAGCTGCAGTCAACTCAGGCTTCAAAATATAACTATAATTTGACTACATCTCATTACCTGACTATTACCACATAGTATGAATTCTCATTGTCTCTCACTTGGGCTTTTATTATAGCCTTCCTTCCAGGTTTCTTGTGTCTATCCTTGTTCCCCACATCAACCAAAGAGACTTAAATTTTAAAATATCATCTCTTTTTTTTTTTATTGTTAGTTTCGGGTGTACAGAACAATGCAATAGTTAGCCTTTCCACCCTTCACAAAGTAAATACCCCCCTCCCCCATCTACTGCCCTCCCACCCCCAATATCATACTTATCTATTACAATTCTATTGACTCCATTCCCACACTCTACTCCACATCCCATGACTATATGTATATATAATTATAGTTGACATACAATATTATTCAACATCAACTTCAGAAATACAATGTAGTGGTCAGGCCTCTACACCAACTACGAAGTGGTCTCCCTAACAAGACATGGGTCCATCTGTCCCCCTAAGAAATATTTACAACATTATTGATTATATTCCCCAGACTGTCTTTTTCTATCCCTGAGGCCATATTGTAGTTACCAATTTGTATTGTCTCCTCCCTGCCCCTTGTCCTTCATCCCCACCCCCTCCCAACTGGCAACCCTCAGTTTTTCCTCTGTGTCTCTGAGACTATTTCTGTTTACATTTCTCATTTTAAAATGTCATCTCTTAAAATGTGTATCCATTATTTTTGGCACCCTCTGTATAAGTCAGAGCAAGCATGTCATTCCTTTGTACATAAACTTCCAGTGCCATCTCTTCTTCAGAATGCAATCCAGCATGCTTATCATAACTTACTAGAGCCACCCACTGCCACTTCCCATCTTTCCCCACATCCCCTCACTCCCTGGCCTCCATTCACACTTATCTCCTTGATGTTCTTTGAATAAGTCATGCATATTCTTGCTTTAGGGCCTTTTCACTTTATTGTTTCCTCTTCTTGGAAAAACCTCCACCTCACCCCACCCCTTTCCAAAGGGCTGCATAGTGTGTTCCCCCAAATTCATTCAGGTATCTACTCAAATGCCACCTTCTCAAGAGAGACCTTCCCTGACTTTATCCAAAATAGTAATTCAGTACCTATCAGTCCATATCTTGTCCTCTTTTTTCTCTCAAAGTCAATTATCCCTGCAGATACTACATTTTTAAATGTTTGTTATGTCTACCGAGTGGGTTGGAACTTTGTGTGGATTACTACTGTATCCTCAGTACATAGAATAATGTTGGTAATAGCTGCTCACAAACATGTATTAGTAAATTGTTGGATAAAGCATTTCATGAAGAATTATTAAAGCAGATTATGACTATGATAAAGCAACCTCAAAATAATAAAAGGTATCTATTTTTTTAAAAAGCAAGTTTTTAAGAAAATGTATTTTTTCAGAAATGAGTGTTAAGAAAAGAATATAGACCTAATAGACAGTAGTGAGACAGCTGGTTTAAAAAGACAGAAATCTTGCTTTGCCAAGAGGAAACTTTAGTTTATACCAACATGTCCTAAAGCCTATTTATTGTTTAAGGACCATTAATTTATTACAGATAAATACATTTCTAGTGTGTAAAACAAAGAAAAGGCAAATAAATAAATTATGGATACCACTGTCATTTGTGAGATGTTTTTCCTTGGCTGCCACGAGAGTGCTGAGGAAAGTGAGTCACTGTGGAGCCAGGGCAAGGGAACCTCATCCAAGAGACTTGGCGGGGACTAGGCTAGGAAGTTTTCACTTCCAGGGATATGAAGCATATTGGCACAGGTACTGATTAGTGCAAGGAGCGTAACAGAAGGAGGACCATGAGCTATCACAGTGCGAAAGCAAGATTCAGTAGTATTAGCTCTAGTAA